TGGAGACGGGATTGCGAATGTTCCACAGTCAGTGCCATTGCTACGTGTAAGAAAAGCAATGGATTGATAACGAAAACGTCACTTGTTTATGTTCGATGGCCAGCAGCCAAAAGCCGCCGCTGCTGCTGCGAGGATGAGTTCACGCGGTGATGGTTGATGCCCCTTGGCAACATCAGCGAGGCTAAATTGGGTGCTTCATTTGTGGCAAGCAACTTTGCGTGCCTAACGAGCTCGACCTTAAAACTCCATTCGCTCGGCAAACCGGAAGCCAATGCGACTCGGCGAGTACTGCACGGAACACGGTCGGATCTTAAATGAAAAATTTCTTTCAAAATCCACCCCATCGTTCACCTCTTTGCGCAGAGTGCCACACGCGCGACAACACACGAAGCGACGTCACCGAACCTCATGGGGAGCCACGGGATGAGATCCCAGCGATCGCCCGCTCAAAACAAAGCCCTCGAGGTGGGCGGACAACGCTGGCCGGATCGCTTGGGCGGCGAGCCGTGTCCGTGGGGCCGCCCGTCGGTGTTTCCGTGAGCCTCGGATGCCGTGGAGGTCGTGGCCGACGTGGTAGCGGTGGCGGCGGTGGTGGCAGTGGCACGGGAGGTCACACGAGCGCGCGCGGGGAGTGGTTCCCGGTGATTACACTGGTCAACAAAAAAAAAACATTTTTTCTGGCCTAGACTTTTGCAGCTGTTTTAGACTAATTTCAGGGTGCTGATTCCAATCTGATCTCAAATTTGCTCTATCACATCTCATTGTTATGCTATCGGCATACCCCATTTTCATTGATTTTACCCGAAATTAACTCTGTCACTTATGATTGCAAGTTGTTGCGAGTCAGTAAATGCTTTAGTGTTAAAATATGGTGCTGTGTTTTTTAGGATAGTGTGTTTATAATATCATTTTATGTAGATATCCACATTTATTTAATATGTTTCTTCTGCAGTTTTTATTGAAAATGCAATATTTGATATCTCAAAAATCTTATGTGATAGACAAAACTGATGCCAGATTTGGAATCAGTACCCCAAAATTACCTTAAAACCGTTGGAATACCTTATGCTACAAAAAGTGTGTTGACCATTTTATTGGTGAGGTCGGTCTGACAATCAACCGCTGGAGGCAAATACTAACGGACCGCTATGTGGGTGATTGAATTCACTCTGGCTAACAGATCTCTGTGTGGGTGAATTAATTCACTTTGGCGAACAGATGTCCACGCAGGGGACGCAGTCGCACGGGTGGAAGTAGCTGGCAGGGCTCCTCGCTCGCGAATCGCCTCCCTGACGGATGCCGATGGAATGACGGCACGTGCAGCGCTGAACCCCACGGTTTCTTGGCTCGTTCCATCGGTGATTCCCGTACGCCGCTGCGGCCGTATGCGGCACGGTATCCAGTGAATCACTAACCTCCCCCACCCCTCTCCTCCTCCTCCTCCACCACCAACTCTGCACGCGTCTAACCCAACTCCGGCCTGCAAGGCGCCACGATCTTAGCGTCCGCGCAAACGTCGCCGTTTGAGTCGCCCCTTGCGGGAAACGGAGAGAGAGAGAGGGAGGGAGAGCGGCGCGGGGCTCAAAAGTGGCGGCATTGTTGTCAAAACCGTTGCGGTTGCGTGTCTCTTAGCAACAAATATCTGAACGTGTTGGTGGTGCACGGACGCCCACACACAGTGCCCTGTGACCCGTGGTGGTGGTGCTGGTGGTGGTAGTGGTGCTTTTGGTGGTAGTGCTGGTGGAGCTGAAGGTGGTAGTGGTGCTGGTGGTGGTGTGGTGCTGGTGGTGGTAGTGCTGGTAGTGCTGATGGTAGTGGTGGTGCTGAGGGTGCTGGTATTGCTTGTAGTGGTGGTAGTGGTAGTGGTGCTGGTGGTGGTAGTGGTGGTGCTGAGGGTGGTAGTTGTGGTGGTAGTAGTGCTGGTGGTGGTAGTGGTGGTGCTGGTGGTGGTAGTGGTGGTAGTTGTGCTGGTGGTGGTGGTAGTGGTGCTGGTGGTGGTAGTGGTGCTGGTGGTAGTGGTAGTGGTGGTAGTGGTGGTGGTAGTAGTGCTGGTGGTGGTGGTAGTGGTGGTAGTGGTGGTGGTGGTGGTGAAGGTAGTGGTGGTCGTGCTGGTATTGCTTGTAGTGGTGGTAGTGCTGGTGGTAGGGGTGCTGGTGGTGGTAGTGGTGGTAGTGCTGGTGGTAGTGGTGCTGGTGGTGGTGGTGGTGGTGCTGGTGGTGGTGGTAGTGGTGGTGGCGGTGGTGGTGGTGGAGGTAGTGTTGGTCGTGCTGGTATTGCTTGTAGTGGTGGTAGTGGTGGTGGTGATGATGGTGCTGGTGGTGGTAGTGGTGCTGGTGGTGGTAGTGGTAGTGCTGGTGGTGGTGGTAGTGGTAGTGGTGCTGGTGGTGGTAGTGGTGCTGGTGGTGGTAATGGTAGTGCTGGTGGTGGTGGTAGTGGTAGTGGTGGTGGTAGTGGTGATGGTGGGTGGTGGTAGTGGTGCTGGTGGTGGTAGTGGCAGTGCTGGTGGTGGTAGTGGTAGTGGTGCTGGTCGTGGTAGTGGTGCTGGTGGTGGTAGTGGTAGTGCTGGTGGTAGTGGTAGTGGTGGTGGTAGTGCTGGTGGTTGAGGTGAGGGAGAGCGTGAGTCGATTATGCAAGCGCTCCTCCACCATCGTATTGCTGCCCACACCACAAATCTTCCCCCACCCCCATACTTCACCACGCTCGCGTGTGCCACAGCGGCTGCCTGTTGGGCAACGGCGCCTCGGGTTTGCAAATAATCCTCGGGAGGAATTGGCCAATCGGCCGATAGCCCAGCACCCTGGCTCCCCGCAAAGCAACACGATTCACGGGCAGGGGGGGATGGGGTGGTGGGGGAGGGGTGGGGGTGGTGGGGGGGGGGTGGGGGGGATCGACGGCGACTGGGAGAGACGCACCATGAGTCCAACGCTCTCGCTCTGAGATCGGAGCTTGTCCGTCCGTAGCGTTCGGAGGCAACAGGAATGCACGAACACTTTCGCAGACGACGACGATCCGAAAGCATGAACTGAAATTCTAGATTTGAAGCTTTCGTGACTGCAAGGATTCATATTCTTAGGTTTTTTTTCGGTAAAGTCACGTAGGTAAAAAATTTAAATTAATAAAAGTAAAAATAAAATAAAAATCACGACGTTACGGAGGCAACACAAGCTTCCGTCTTCAGGTGGAACAGTCTCTGACTGTCTGTGACTGTTCCACCTGAAGACGGAAGCTTGTGTTGCCTCCGAAACGTCGTGATTTTTATTTTTATTTTATTGTTATTAATTTCAATGTTTTACCTACGTGACTTTATCGACAAAACCTAAGAATATGAACTGAAATGTTGCGCAAGGTTGTCTTGCTCCATCCCCCGTTTCAAATCCGGAACAAATGTAATCGAAGCGTTGCCCACGTCTTGGCAAGACACAAACCAGCGCTTTCAAATAACTTTCCGCTAATATTTAAGCACGTTTGTACATGCTTTGCCCCAACACCTCGGATTAGCACCGTTGGCTACGTACGGCGCGAAAGAAGTTCAACACACACGCGTGCACCCGTCACGTTCCACGGAGCTCGTTCAATCCTTCCGAGTACAATTTCGTGTTGGAAAGTGTCGCAAAATCAATGCACGCGCATGATTTCCCCCTGCCCGCCCCCCCACGCCCGCCTGGTTTGTTATCTCACTTGCGCGTTTGTGTTTTTGTTGAAGGTTTGGAGCGAGTTGAGAGCTCATAAAGCCTGGGAATGATTTATAACGAGAGGCTTTCGATGCGAAACCGAAAGTACTTAATTGCGATTTTAGTAATTGTTGCTGTTTACTTCTGGGTTAACATTTTTACGCTGTTTACCTTTTCATTATCGCGAAAAGACATTTCTCGATGATTTTTTTTGTATTACTCACCGGGAGAAATAAAATATATACCACTTCCTCAACTTTTAACACGCGAACGATTGCGTTATCACCTTCCAAGCGCGATAAACTTTGACCTCGACATTGGGGGGGTGGGAGGGGGGAACGGGTTGTGCC